CTTACATCCTTCACTCAACAATGAGCTGTTCATGAGGCCCAATAGAACCAGTTATTCCTTTACTGAAAGCAGCTGACCATCAGATCTGAGAATTGTATATTCAGTTGTCCATATGTCTGCAATAAATAGCTTTCATTATTATTTATGAAAAGGGGAAGTGCTATTGTATAGTTTTATACCCTCTGACAATTTGCAGTCTAAAATATTGTTACAAATTAATAATGTTTCACATTTTAAATATAATATTTTAACTTAAATGTAATAAGGGCATAATTAAGACAAGAGGGCAAGTGTAAAAGAGTAAATGGATAGTATTTCTACTAAATATTAGTAACTTTCAAAAGATTTCCAATTTTCAAAATGCTTAAAGGAGGCATACCCCACCATTTTTATTTTTATTTATTTATTTTTGATGAAAGACAGAGAAGCAGGCTCCCTGCAAGGAGCCTGATGTGGGACTGGATCCCAGGACCCTGGGATCACACGCTGAGCCAAAGGCAGACGCTCAACCACTGAACCACCCAGCTGTCCCCATACCATTTTTTTTTAAAATAGAAATTTCTTCTATCTTGAGAAAATAAGCTAAAATGTTTATATTTTTCCTTTATAATAGCATTATTAGTATAGTTAGCATAGCAGTGGCTGTGTGTATGGACAAAGACATCTTCATATTTCTTTTATTTAAAAAAATTATAATCACATCAAAGAAAATTTGGCAAATTGAGAAGAAAAATATATCAGCAATAGTACCATCAATCCACTATAAATCCTGTTAGTATGTTGGTTATATTAACATAATCCTCTTTCTCTGCATTTTTCTTTGTATAACTACTTCTAATATTGCTTGTTATCTAACAGGATGATTATGTGAATGTTATTGCATAAGATTTATTTTTTAAAAATGAACTTTGAAAGTTATATTTAAATTTTAAATGAAGCTATTTTCAGGCACTGAGATAAATTTCTTGACTCACTGCTTTTCTTTGGTCAAACCTGTAATGAGCATGTGAGTCTGTGTATATCAATCTTTGATTTAATGAGTATGAAGAATTATTGAACAACCAAAACTAATTTTCAAATTAGAGTTAGAAATGAACTCCAAGAGATTTCTTTTATGGGAAGGAATTTTTTAGGGGCAGAGGGAGGAATTTTTAAATGTACCAAAATTTGCATGTGTTTTGGTTACCATTGCTTTTTTCAGAATAGAAAAGCATAGGACAAAAGAAACCGGGGAAAAGGAAGTAATGTGGGAGGGCACTGCCTGCGACACTCCTACATATGCATTTTCCCCAACCACTCCACAGACTTGACTCCTAGCTCTTTCTTGTAGTGGTCTGTTTGTGCATTCACCCTGAGCCAACTCTGCTCGAACAGAAAAGTATTTTACTCTATACTGCTTCTCCAAGATCTAGCCAAGTTTCTAGCACATAGTATGAGCACTTAATGAACACCCTATAACCAGAGGAAGAGAGGAAAATATGTAAATATACCGAGCATGAAAGAGGACAGGATTATTGTGATGTTTTGGCTGTAAGTTACATAATATCAAGTACAAATGGCCTAAAAATAGGGACATTTTTTTATTTTACGTGACACACAAGTTCAGAGTCAGGGAAGTTCCAAGCTTGGTTATGCAGCTGAACAGTGTCATGGAGGACACAGATGTTTTTCATTTCTGTACTCAACCATCCTCAGAATATTGGTGATTTCTTCCGTTAACATTGCAAGATGGTTGTAAGAGTTCCAGATGTCATTCATACACTTGACCATGTCCAGCAAAGAGTTGGTGTTTCTTTCTGTGTGTATCTATTGATGACAGAGAAAAAAACCTTTCACAGAGCCTTCTAGTTGACTTCTACTCACGCCTTGGCTGACAAAGGCTACTGTGTAGACACCAACAGTGACTGGCACAGAAATGCCAGAGGAAGCAATAGTAGGCAAGAGGAAAGATATGCCATAGGAAAAAGGGTGGTGACAGAGGCAGGATGAGAGTCTGCAGTATATGTAATACAGCACAGCGTGCATTCTCTAGGCCTGCTGTATTCTTTCTTGTATATACACTGCCTTCCTTATACCTTATATGTGTAGGAAGGTAGTTGAATATTATCATTTATAAATAATAGTGTGTTTCTGATCCCAGGTTTTATAGAACCATATAAATCTGGAGATGTGATGTATATGACATCTCAAGTACAGAACTGGGAGGCCCAACCCATGTTGTTGGAAGCTTCATTACCTTCACAGTAAATCTTTCTCCAGTGCCATCACTGGCCTTCCCCACATTTAACATCACTACTCTGGAGAGAATAGAAAACAGCTGAGAATGGGATTGGGTAACAAGTCAGAAGGACAGAGTTTGTTTTCTTATGAACATATAGAGTTCAGGAAAAAGAGGATATGGCACTCTAAACAGTTATTCAAGAAAAGGATAAAATGCATGGGAATTACAAAGATAGATTTTTTTTAAAAAAAGAACCTTAGTTATTATTAATAATACTTTTAAACAGTTATAGTTTATGGCACATTCCTACTCTTAGAAAGTATAAATAAAAGTGAGCAAACATACGTAGATGAACTAATCTTTATACACTCTCAAAATAAAATGTGCAGCCCATTACAGATCTCCCTCAACTTACAATAGGGTTATGTCCTGGTAAATCCATTGCAAACTGAAAATATCCTAAGTTGAAAATGCATTTGCTAGACCTAATCTACTGACTATCATAGCTTAGCCTCGCCTACCTGAAATGTGCTCAAAACACTTAAATTAGCCTATAGTTGGGCAAAATCACCTAACACAAAGCTCATTTTATAATAAAGTGCTGCATATCTTGTGTAATTGGTTAAATACTGCAAGTGAGAACTGGAATGACTGTGCGGGTGCAGCATGGTTGTAACCCTATTGGTTGTTTAGCCTCGTGATCATGTGGCTGACAGAGCTGAGGCCTGGAGCCACTGCCCAACATCACGAGAGAGTATTGTACTGTGTATGTATCACTGGCCTGGGAAAAGATCCAAATTCAAAATTTAAATTGCAATTTCTGGGCAGCCCGGGCGGCTCAGCGGTTTAGCGCCGCCTTCGGCCCAGGGTGTGATCCTGGAGACCCCGGATGGAGTCTCACATCAGGCTCCCTGCATGGGACCTATTGCTCCCTCTGCCTGTGTCTCTGCCTCTGTGTGTGTGTGTCTCTCATGAATGAATAAATAAAATCTTTTAATAAATAAATAGCCATTTCTGCTGAATGTATATTGCTTTTGCACCATCATAAAGTTGAAAAACCTTAAGCCAAACCATCCTAAGTTGGGAACTGTCTGTGTATATATTCAGGTGCCCTTAAATATGTACACATAAAGTTAATATTACCATACAGCACCTGTATATTTTGGACTGAACTGAATTAAGTAGCATGTTATTAATTAACATAAAATATGAAAATTATATTTATAAGTTACATATAATATCACACTTTATGCTTTCTTTCCATTTCCCTTGGGTAGGGGTGGTAGGAGAATTAAAGTAATCACCTGTTTCATCTGCTGTCTTATTGGTCTTCGGGCAGTTGCAGTAGAATCCCAGAGAACCTTCTGAGGAATCTGTTATATTGCCAGGTTGATATTCCAGTCTGTTGCTGTTGTCTTTTTTTTTTTTTTTAACCATCTTCCTCTTATCTTCCTCTTGTTCTCAAGATTACATATTAGCTTCCCATTGTATTTCATATTTCACGTTAGATTTTTTCAAATTGAAATATATTTGCTAATCAATGTAGTGTTAATTTGTAGAAGTGTGTCATCTGCACCAGAGTTGAATGAGTCTGGCACATAATAACCTTTCGTTGATACATGTTTAATGAAAGCATGAATGAATCATTTATGTAATAGAACTTCTAGGATAATTATAATAATTGAAGGAAAACAAATATTGGACACTATAACCTGTGTTTTCTAACATTATTTCCTTTTAGAAAATGTGGTATCACCAATCTTTTGAAAAACTAGACACTGTATTTTTTTAATTAAAGACTTTAAGTGATATGCTAAATAGATATCTTAGCTTGGCTATTAAGACATAAATTGCTAAGGCACTACAAATCTGGGAAAATGAGAAAATAATTTGAAAAGAAGAGATTCTAGAAATGGGTATATGTGATTTAGTAAGAGCGACCATGAATACAATGAGGGGAGAATCTGTAACTATGTATGGTGTTTTATGCTTCTCAAAAGGCCTATTTTTACATATATATTATATGGGTCTGCCTGCTTGTTTCCCATTCTCTATAATTTAAAATGTGTTATTTTTATAGTTTGTCTTGGACACATAAGCAAATCAGCATGTATACTCAAATGATTTTATTTCTGACATGTGAAATGGTTAAAATAAATTTATTCCTGTATCTAAACATTAACATTTGCATATTAAAATATGTTGTTCATTTGTGGATCTCATTTTATGTGTACAATGAAGGTACACCTTTTAATTCTGAGTAAGTTAAAAAAATCTTTTAAAAGTATTATAAGATGAAAGGAATTTAAAAATTGACATTATTGGCACAAGATTCGTGCTAATGTTTACTCATGTAAATAGCACAAAATACTGCCTAATTAGTGTGGTTGGTAAATTTTTGGTACTTTAATTTTCTCTGTTATTGTAAACCATGCATAAAATGCTTGCCTATTGAGAAGTGCAGAATTGTCAGAGCTTAAACAGCTGACATCTGCTTACTCTCTTAAAAAAAAAAAAAAAAAGAATAACAAGCCATTTCAGCCTAATCTACCTCAAATGTGTTCATGTAAATGGAGGTCCATCTATTGACCTGTATTCTTTTCAGCTCAGGATTGGTCCACATGGTTTATGAAACCAGGAAGGCTGATTTGAAATGCAGATGTCGAGACAGTGAAGTACACCCTCCCCTTTTTTCTTTGCTGTATCTGTCAGGGTGAAAAATGGCTTGCACAAGGGTCAGTCACCCATACTCACTTAATTACTTTTCTTGGACCCACAGAACTGTCACAAGCTGTGGTGGATGCGGGAGCTGTTCCTCTTTTAGTACTCTGTATCCAGGAGCCAGAAATTGCTTTGAAAAGGGTTGCTGCTTCGGCCCTCAGTGATATTTCAAAGCATTCTCCAGAGTTAGCACAGACAGTAGTGGACGCGGGAGCCATTGCTCACTTGGCCCAGATGATCCTGAACCCTGATTCTAAATTAAAGGTATTTAAAAATAAGGTTGAGAAACAAATCAGGCTTCCAAGAAAATAGAAATGTGGGTAGGTTAATATTACTATACATTTAAAAATCATTAGTAAATTTATCATTGAAAACAGATACAGATATGTTATATATTTGGTCTTTTAATACATGAACCTTTTGCTATAAACATTAGATGGTAGACTTATCTGGTTAAAATATGTAGCATCGGTATTAACATTGATCATTAAAATAAGGAATTACATAATGATTGGATCTCAGGGTTGGAAGGTACCTAAAGTTCTTCTGGCCCACCACTATTATATTTACGTTTCTTATGAAAATTGCCATATTTATCTCAGTCTTTTTTATAGCTTTCTAACATTTGATCTTTAGTTAATAGTCAATTATACTTTCACATTCTAGTGGTTACATTCTATAAGATTTTAAAATCGTTAATGTTAACTAAGTAATGGAAAACTGTTTGAAATGTTATCAGCATGATGCCAAAACTCAGATTATACTTTGCGTGATCATTTTTGTACTACATGTACAAAATTACATAAATTAACAATGTGAGTATTAATTAAGGAATACTATTCATGCAAAGGTCATATTCTTCAATCATCTGCATAGATAAGAGATTTAAATAGTGTGCAGAAGAATGAAGGCATTTAATTTGGGAATTAGGGAATTTAAGAAATTGAGTATCTAGGTATGAGACCAGGAATTGACTGTCTCAAGACTCCTAAATCTAAGGTTGTGTTAGAAACATAATTGTTTTTTTCCTTTTTAAGAAGGAACTTGAGTGTGTATAAGGCTGTATAAATCAGAACTCTACAGCAAGCCGTATGCCATGTTTTGTTTTATTTTGGTTTTTCCTTAACAGCGTCAGGTCCTTTCAGCTCTTAGTCAGATTGCAAAACATTCTGTGGATCTGGCAGAGATGGTGGTGGAAGCAGAGATCTTTCCAGTTGTACTTACCTGTCTGAAGGACAAAGATGAATACGTGAAGAAAAATGCTTCTACTCTAATTAGAGAGATTGCAAAACATACGCCTGAGGTAAAAAAAAAAAATTAAGCTGTTAAAATACAGTAATATATAGTTAGTTTTAGTTTTTAAGCAAAACATCAACTTGTTTACAGGGCATGAGTGCTGTGCCACATGATCTGGTCAGGGCTTCTCACCTCAGCAGTACAGACATTTGGGACTAGGTAATTCTTTGTTGTGGGGCGCTGTCCCTGTGCACTGTCAGCTGGTTGTTGAGCAGCATCCCTGGCCTCTGCCCACTAGATGCCAGTAGCACCCCTAACCCTATCATGATAAAAATGTCTCCCTATATCACCAGATGCTTCCCAGGGGACAAAGGGCCCCTAGTTGAGAACACTGCGTTATATCAATGGAGTTTGAATCTAAAATCTCAGTTTTTAATAATTGTCTGCTTTCCATTTCTAGACCTAGAGCAGGGGGTGGACTTTAGTCATCCTTGTCATTCTAGGTCAGCTAGGAGGAGTAAGAGAGAGACAGATGCCTCCAGGTCTGAAGAGACCACACGGCCCACAGTCTAGTATAACCCCTCTACTAATTGCTTGACTTCTCAGATGCTAAAGGAATCTGGGTGGATTCTGAAGTTGTATCTTTTTCCATGTGTATTTTGACTCATCAATTTTCATTTCACTCAACTTTAAAGTCCTCATTCTTTATGTCACCTAACATCTTCATTTGGTTGAGATTTTTCAGGACTGAAGTGCAATCAGCTAGTAGTCATTGCTAGCAAAGGGGGGATAATTAGGTTAGAATATTTCAAGTGTGACATTGTCTTTTAGCATTCAGTGATTAATCTGTTTCATGTTCACACATTGTGATTGGGGGTTTCAGTAGTTAGCTAGTTATGAACTAGCCCTAGGCTTAGTGTCTCAGTGAGGAATTTTGACATCTATTAAGGATAAAAGTTGCGTTATTGATGCATGAAAAACTGAACCAGAGTGGCTCCTCACAATGAGTATATCTGCTCACTTGAAATAGGATTATTATACTTGTACTTTTTTTTCATGCCTTAAAATTATTTTAAAAAAATTTTTATTAACTTATTTTATTTAGATTCAATTGTTTAACACATCATTAGTTTCGTATGTAGAATTCAGTAATTCATCAGTTTCAAATAACGCCCAGTGCTCATTACATCATGTACCCTCCTTAATGCCCATCACCTGGTTACCCCATCCCCCCACCCACCTCCTCTCCAGCAACCTCAGTTTGTTTCCTGTAGTTAAGAGTCTTTTATGGTTTGTCTCCCTCTCTGATTTTGTCTATTTTATTTTTCCCTCCCTTCCCCTATGCTCCTCTCTTTTGTTTCTTAAATTCCACATATGAGCAAAACCATATGATAATTGTCTTTCTCTGATTGACTTATTTCACTGAGCATAATACTCTCCAGTTCCATCTACGTCAATGTATGTTTCCTTAATGAATATAACAATCTTACTAAATGATATTTCAAATTTTGCCAGATGTTTTTTAGGTCCTAAACAAAAAAAATCAGGCAAGGCTAAAGTAATATTTAAAGATAATCTCATGTATCATAGTCATGATGATCTGACTCTCTTTTCCTCCTAGCTTTCACAGTTGATAGTTAACGCAGGAGGAGTGGCTGCCGTGATTGATTGTATCGGGTCCTGCAAAGGAAACATAAGACTGCCTGGCATCATGATGCTTGGTTATGTAGCAGCTCATTCTGAGAACCTGGCAATGGCAGTGATCATTTCCAAGGTCTGTGTGGATTTGGCCTTATCTCAACTTGTTATTAACCCACCATGGAGTGTAGCCTTAGCACATAGTAGGTGCTCAAAAAATATTTGTTGAATGAATAAATATTGCTCTCCCAAAGAATGCTTCAAAAGCTGTGTGCTTATTATGGCCTCTCTGGCAACCCTCTAGGGTGTGGGTTTCTTATCAGCATAGAAAACCTGCTGCTGTATGTTAAACAGAAGTGCGGCTTGGGTTGGTGTTTTTTTCTTTTTTTTTTAATCCCTTGCTAATCCTCAGAATAAAGAGGAACCTCAAATCTTTATTTTCTACCTATTCCTTGATAATTCTTTGCTTCACTCCCTTTTTATCCTGTGCTTGTCCTTTTGTTCTTCTATTACCAAAGACTATGATAGTGACTAGAACATAGTGCTTTCCAAAGGGTCACCATGGGGATATTATTGGGATTTTTGATTTGCAGTTCTTTTGTGCATAGTCAGAAAGCTTACACATAGGAAGAAGGATGAAAGAAGCAATTACTTTTGCTTCCTGTATTTCTTCCCTAAACTAACCAGGAGGCATTCCCCTCCTTTGCTCTAGGGTTGCTGCTGGCCTCTCCCACCTAGTTTGCCTTTCAGTAAGTGAAAGATTGGGGTGGTGGCAGCAGCAGTTCGAGGCACACCACCCAGTGCTGCATTATTCTTTCCTTGTCCTATGCAGTACCATAAGGACTAGTAACAACAACTCCTATTTCCATAACACTTTGTAATTATTGAAGCACATTCACATTCCTTATCTCATTTGATAGTCGTAATAACTGAGGCCCATAGTCAGAATTTGAGGGATGGGGATAAGGGTATCTTTCCTTCCTCTTGCCCCTTCATTCTTGATATATCCCAGAAGTATAGAGTTTCTGGAAAGTTGCCTCATTTTTTTTTAAAGATTTTATTTATTAATTCACGACACACACAAACACACACACACAGAGGTACAGACACAGGCAGAAGCAGGCTCCATGCAGGGAGCCTGATGTGGGACTTGATCCCGGGTCTCCAGGATCACTCCCTCGGCTGAAGGCGGCGCTAGACTGCTGAGCCACCCAGGCTGCCCAGGTTGCCTCATTTTGAAGACAGATCTGATCTTTTTTGTATTGGCAGACAATTTTTAGTTTAAGAAAAATAAAAGCCAAAAGAAGCCAAAAGAGAGATATGGCATGTTTCCTCAGGAAATTAGTCTTACTAATAACTGAATTTAAAGGTGGACAAAAAGAAAATATACATGATCATTTGGCCTTTGCTATGGTAGCCTGATCTTATGACACTGACTTTTGTATATTAAATTTAAGGTGATAATTATTATAGACTCAAATTAGCTAGAAAATTATGCCTATACAGAATCTGGAATTAGAGTTTGATTACTTGAGTCTTCCTTGGGTATATAAACTGTGGTGTATTTGAGATCCTTTAGTTAATTCTGTTTGATTACTAAGATAAAATTGAAGTCTATGTAAAATATAAGTACATGATATCTGTGTAACAAAGTAATCATTTCTACTTTGACATTTAATCATGTTAAAATGGGCAAAACTATCATTTAAAAATTGGACAAAAGAAATGAAAATTATTTACTATTTCAAGGAAGTTTTTAGTGAATGTATTTCATTTAAAAGTTACTTAAATAGGATTCTTGCTCTTTCATTTGATTTTGGATCTATAATACTTATTTTGTTCTCAGATCTATTATACTTGGTGAAAGGCATTTTTAAAAAGGGATTCTAAATTAACTTTTTAAACAAAGGACAATAAAAGATTTTAAAAACCCTAAACATTTTAATTTTGTCACAGTGGAATCTGGTTTTGCCTATAATATACTAGTCTGTGGCATCTGTTGTTTGGTTAAATGCCTCTCTATTTTGGGAGTAAACGCTAGCAGAGATATTCTTAGTTTAGTTGGATTGTTACAGATAATTAAGGTAAATTAGTTCTAGTCATTTTATTGACTTGAAAAATGACAGCCCCTGTGATGTGCTCATTTATTGAACCGTTTAGGAAAAAAAGGATCAAGGCCAAAATGATTCCTTCTAATGTTTGAGAGACACGGAAGACTCTTTAATCCTGCTCTAGATTCATAACACTTGCTCTTTTGATCAACGCTGCAGGGTGTGCCTCAGTTGTCAGTCTGCTTGTCAGAAGAACCAGAAGATCATATTAAGGCTGCTGCTGCTTGGGCCTTAGGACAGATTGGGAGACACACTCCAGAGCACGCACGGGCTGTTGCAGTCACAAACACCTTGCCAGTTCTGCTGTCATTGTACATGTCAACAGAAAGTTCTGAGGATCTTCAAGTAAAAGTAAGTGCTTAATTTTTAACAGTCATATGAAGATTTGTTACATTTGACTCATTCTTAATTTTAGGGGCATCTGGGTGCTGCAGTTGGTTAAGCATCTGCCTTCAGCTCAGGTCATGATCTCAGGGTTCTGGGATGGAGCCTTGGGTCAGCTCCCTGCTCAGCAGGGAGTCTGCTTCTCCCTCTGCCTCCGCCCCTCCCCCTTAGCTTGTGCATGCTCTGTCTCTCAAATAAATGAATACAATCTTTTAAAAAATATGTCATTTTAAATGTTTTAATTATCATTATGGATAATGTTGATTTTATTAGTCAAAAAATACAAATTTATCAGAACTGAGGTAGCTTTTCTTCAAAAATGGGTTACCCTTATTTCTAACAGTGATAATTTTAAAGAAAGTTCTCTATAGGTGCAAAGTGGTTTGTAAAATGAATGTCTGGCTTTTGCATTCTGCATTCATGTTGACTTTTCTTATGGAATAGGAATTGAATAATAGAACTTTGAGGTGGAATTATAACTGTAGTCCAGTTAACATAAAAAAATTGAGTCCAAAAGAATTTAAGGTGCTATTGAAAGGCATAATGGAACTGGTCAGAGGGTATTCCTGGAAGCTGTGTTCCATCTTTCTTAACTCTGCTCCAGCTTTTAATTATATGCTTTGTGTTTGTTCCTTAAAAGAAAAATGTCCAAAAGATGCATTTTATTTATTTTTTTAAAGTGAAAGCATTTAAAAAATTTTTATTTCTAATTTCTAAATTTTTATTTGAGAGACAGAGAAAAAGAGTGAGCAAGAAAAAGAGGGAGTACGAGCAGGGTGAGGGGTAGAGGGAGAAGCAGACTCCCTGCTGAGCAGGGATTCCCAACATGGGGCTTGATCCCAGGACTCCGGGATCATGACCTGAGCAGAAGGCAGACACTTAACCAACTGAGCCACCCATGTGTCCCTAAGTTAAACATTTTAAAATCATGTATTTTTTAAATAGCATGCTTTCTGGGAAAAAAAATATCACTGGCTATTTAGGATGATTGGCAGAACATAAATTTAATTAGGATGGGTTGTTTAATACTTTTAAAATTTCCAATGAAAGAAAACAATGTTTCCCAGCATAATTCCCTTAAGAAAACATGTGCCTTTTTTGAAAGGAGTTTTCAGAATTGACTTGGATTGAGGAAAGTGCACAGAAAAGATAGTAACTCAAAATAAAATTAACAAGAGTAAGTTAAAGGACACTTAAATTTAGTTAATAAATAAATAGGAAAGCACATTGGCTGAAGCAACTTTAGATGGTAGTTTACTTGAACTATATAGCTGAGGGACTCTGAAAGTTAGGTTATGTAGTGAGTCATTAATTGTATTTATAAATTTTATAAAAGTGAATTTATGTTTATCTGGTTATGTTTATGTGTTATTTTTCTGCAGATTCCTTGAGGGAATTTTTAAGATTAGTGTTTTCTTTTTCAGTTTTTTTTTTAATTAATTTTATTGGTGTTCAATTTACCAACATACAGAATAACACCCAGTGCTCATCCCGTCAAGTGTACCCCTCAGTGCCCGTCACCCATTCACCCCCACCCCCCGCCCTCCTCCCCCTCCACTACCCCTAGTTCATTTCCCAGAGTTAGAAGTCTTTATGTTCTGACTCCCTTTCTGATATTTCTCACACATTTCTTCTCCCTTCCCTTATATTCCCTTTCACTATTATTCATATTCCCCAAATGAATGAGAACATACACTGTCCTTCTCCGGTTACTGTGGCCAAGTTCAAAAAGGGTGTTGCCTGAGTTCTCCTCTGGGATTTTGATGGGATCTTGTCTCACATTTAGATCTTTCATCTATTTTGAGTTTATCTTTGTGTATGGTGCAAGAGAGTGGTCCAGTTTCATTCTTCTGCATGTGGATGTCCAATTTTCCCAGCACCATTTATTGAAGAGACTGTCTTTCTTCCAATGGATAGTCTTTCCTCCTTTATCGTATATTAGTTGACCATAAAGTTCAGGGTCCACTTCTGGGTTCTCTATTCTGTTCCATCGATCTATGTGTCTGTTTTTGTGCCAGTACCACACTGTCTTGATGAACACAGCTTTGTAGTACAACCTGAAATCTGGCATTGTGATGCCCCCAGATATGGTTTTCTTTTTTAAAATTCCCCTGGCTGTTCGGGGTCTTTTCTGATTCCACACAAATCTTAAAATAATTTGTTCTAAGTCTCTGAAGAAAGTCCATGGTATTTTGATAGGGATTGCATTATACGTGTAAATTGCCCTGGGTAACATTGACATTTTCACAATATTAATTCTGCCAATCCATGAGCATGGAATATTTTTCCATCTCTTTGTGTCTTCCTCAATTTCTTTCAGAAGTGTTCTATAGTTTTTAGGGTATATTTTGAGACCCATTTGAATGGCAAATGGTTCTCCAACTCTTTTTCAGTTTTTGTAAGACTTTCTAGATCAAAGCAATGACTTCATAGATTTAGGGCTTCCCTTATATTTCTCCAGTGTTGAGTGTATTCCTTGGCAATGCTTGGTAGAGAGTAAGATTGACAATAAGCTAAGGCCTTTCCCTGGTTAACAATTCTGTGATTCTTTGGCTTTCTGGTGAGAAACCACAGTTACATTTCCAGTTTTGAGTTGTCCAAGTACAGCTGATTTACATATGTATAATTTTAGCTTGTATATGTAGTTCTCTTTCTGCCTCATATTTAACCCATCATCATGCTTGCCTTTTCTTCCCCCCCTTCGGTCTCATTTCCACCCCCACCTTCCTACCTCCTCCTTTCTCTAGTCACTGGTCCAGTGACTAGGGTCTCCTCTGCAGGGTCTCTGCAGCTATATGCTATGGCTAAAATGTAATAGTAATCATGTTCAACTTCTAGATTATCTAGAAGTCTCTATCACTTTCAGATTCCTTCAGGTAACAACTTTTATCTTCAAGTTTTGGAAATGAAGGAATATATCAGCCACAGCATGAATAATTAATAGTGGAATCAATAGTAATTATAGCTTGAGAAACCCTTGCAAGTAGTGTCTTAGGTAGCATTATATGCTTTTTTATATACTACAAAGTTTATGTAATTTGGTTTTTAATGAGCTATTATGTTGTTTTGTCATATAAATATCACTAGAGTAAAATAAGTTTGAAAACTTCACCTTTTGGGCAGCCTGGGTGGCTCAGCAGTTTAATGCTACCTTCAGCCCAGGGCCCTGGAGTCCTGGGATGGAGTCCCACGCCGGGCTCCTTGCATGGAGCCTGTTTCTTGCTCTGCCTGTGTCTCTGCTTCTCTCTCTCTCACTCTCCTCTCTCTATGTGTGTCTCTCATGAATAAATAAATAAAATATCCTTTTTTTAAAAAGAAAACTTCACCTTTTGAAGTAAGAACATTTTTATTATATATATGTTTAACAAAAATAGTTTTGTTAAAACATTCGAGTTTACTAATAGAAGCAAAGGTTCCTTCCACCTATATTTGATATGATATTTACTTTCAGGAAATACAAGGAGTATTAAATTAAAAAGTGGGATCTTTATTAATAATTACCCCTGTCAGCAATCCTTCCAAGGCTTTAAGTCTATCCAAATATTTTTTTATTGTAGGGACTTGATTATTATTTTTACTTCCCCAAGCTTTCTTGGATTCTAACATTTGTTGTTTTAAAGGCTTTAGAGTGAAAGTCCAAGTCTGTTTGATTTGACATTATCTCAGTAGGGAAAAATGTATCCAAGAGCTTTAGGAACCTCTAATGGTATTTTTCATTTGTTACTCTGTGGCAGCTTTCAAATTAAAGGCCATGTTGAAGTTCATTTTATCCCAAAGGCATGTCAGCTTTTGTAAGCATTCTCTAATTGGTTCTGATCCAGGAGAACCAATGAGCAGTCTCTTGGAATTGCTTGCATGTTTTCACATGGCCTTATATCTGCCTGTATGTTATTAAAAACAGGGGAAAAAATCCATCTTTTATCTAATAAGCTCACCTATATATATTTTGAAAGTATTCACACAATTGCATTTTTATTTGTTCTGATTTAGAGGCATCATATTGAAATGGGCCATCTTAGTTTGGCATTTGACTAAGTTCATTCTTTTACTTCGTTATGAAAGTATTGCTAAGATTATTTGACTTAATTATTGTGTTCTTGTCATCATGGTTGTTTCCCTTCATTTTTTAATGGCTTTATTGAAATATAGTTCATATGTCATTCAGTTCACTCATTTGAAGTATATAATTCAATGGTTTTTAGTATATTCACAGATGTAGCCATCGCAACAATCTAATTTTAGAGCCTCTTCATTCCCTCATGAGCAGTCATTCCATACCCTCCATGCTTAGTCCCTGGCAACCATTAATTTATTTTCTGTCTTTGGGTATTTGCCTCTTCTGGACATCTCATTTAAATGGGATCACAGATTATATGTGATCTTTTGTGCCTGCTTCTTTTCGTGTAGTGTAAGTTTTAGGGTTCATCCATGTTGTAGCATATATCAATACTTTGTTCCTTTTTATTGCCAAATAATATTCCATTGCACCACTATACTGCATTGGGTTTACCCATTCACCAGTTGACAGACATTTGGACTGTTGCTACTCTTTCTAGTATGGCAAATTATACTGTTCTGAACATATTTGTACATATTTTTGTGTGGATGTATGTTTCTATGTACAAACCTAGGGGTGGAATTGCTAGGTCACACAATAACTCTTTGACATTTTTAGGAACCACCAAACTATTTTCCGTTGTGGCTGCACCATATTACATTCCCACCAGCAATGTATGAGGGTTCCAATTTTCCACATTCTTGTCTACAATATTACTTTTTTTTTTTTATTGTAGCCACCCTAGTAGGTGTGAATTGGTATCTCACTGTGATTTTGATTTGCATTTCCCTGATGGCTAATGATGTTGAGAAATCTTTTTATGTGCTTATTGGCCACTTGTATATCTTCTTTGGAGAAATGTCTAATCAGGTCCTTTGCCCATTTTTTATTTGGGCTATTATCTTTTTAT